GCTCCCATACCATCATGATGCCGTGTTTGCACACAGGACAGAAAAGGTTCCAAATGACTATGGAAACATGCTCTCAGCAGCAGAACAGAAGCAGCCAGTACAGTACAGAGGTTTCTCTAGTAAAGTCATAAACATCAGCAGCCTATACGCATCCAGGGCTCTCAGCTGCCCCAACACTGCTGGAGCAGCAGATTAGCACTCTGCAGCTGCCATCAGCAGCTCCATACGGTGCTAATTCCATCTGAGCAGCTTGTGAGCTGCAGAGCTCACTGAAGTGCAGCTGGATGCAGGTTTGACACCACTGGCAAAGCCCAGGGAAGGAACACAATGCAGCAACTGCAGCCACACGACACCCTGACACCTCTGGCTGCTGGTGAGCGCACAGACACAGGACTCCATCTGCCAAACAGCACGGCTCTGGGAAGAAGCCCCAGTTCTGCAGCACACTGCTGATGGCACAGAACATTCCTTAGCACACAGCAGTTTTAACCCACCGGAGTTTTAACCCATAAACTGCAGCAAAAGGCACGAAAACACTGCCCACAAAGCTGAGGGGAGCACAAAGAAAACCTGCTTCACTATAAGGCAGAACCACAAGTCCTCCAACCTCAGCACTGGGATGCGCAGGAACGCAGCCGTGAGCTGCACCGTGCAAAGCAGCACAGCACAGCACAGCACTGCACAGCACTGCTGGGTCACTGCCGTGCCTCGTGCAGCCCACAGCCAGCCTCGTGGCCTGGCGCTGCCTCCTGGGAAGCCGCACAGCCGGCGTTCTGCGTTAGTGCCCAGCTCTCCTCACACGAGGAGAACCGGCTGAGAGCACGTGAACCCTGACGCCTCGTTTCCACAGGATAAGGCCCAGTCAGACCGTAACACCGCACCATGTACGCCGGCTTCAGGAGGGGGAGAAAAGCTCGCTACTGATGCGTCATTCAGTCCTTCTCGCCGCTCAAACACCTCGTCTCCCCTGGAGCTTCGAGTCCCCCCGGCTCCTCACAACGCACGGCACCGGCTCTCACCTGCAGCGGGCTCCATAGGCGCACTGCCCCTTCTGGTAGTACTTGCAGACGGTGGAGGACTTGCTGCTGGACAGGTCGTGCGAGAACAGACACTTGCTTCCCTCGCGGCACACCCCCTGCACGTAGTACCTGTGGAGAAGCGCGCGGCCCGGAAATGGATTCTCTCTGGAGGCGCCTTCCCGCGCGCGGCGCGCCGCTCCAGCCCGGGCCCCTGCGAGACGCGGCGGTCCCGCGGGAGGCGCTCCGGGACGCATCGCCGGCCCGGGGCCACCGCCACCCCGTCCCCGGCGCGAGCGGACGGCGCTCACCTGCACGTCACCTGCTTGGTGCTCATCCTCACCCCGCTCCGGCCTCCCCGCCCGGCCGGCTCCGCGCGCCGCACGCCCGGGTTCCGCTCCGCCGCGGGGAAGGGGCGGGGCCGACACGGACACAATTACCCGACGCGCCGCACCACCGAGACGCGGCTAGAGCGCCGCTCCGCCATGGAGACGGCCGCCATCCTGCGCGTGCGGCACTGCGGCGCCGCCATCTTCTGCCGCCGCGCGCCCCCGTTCTGCCCCGCCTGCGGCCGCCCCCTGCGCCGCGCCGGGCTGCGCGCGGCCCCCGTGCGCCTTCCCTGCCCCTTCGGCAGCGGGCACCGGCGGCCCCGCGCCTTCCTGCTGCGGCCCTCCGCCGGCAGCTTCCTGGGGTACGGACCGCCGTACGGGCGTTACGCGGCGGCGGGCGGGGGTCTGGAACGGCAGCTCACAGGCTGTTTCTGTTTCAGAGGATACGACGGGAACTCCGATCTCCACGTCGGAATATCCAGCGCTCAGGGTAAAGCGCATTTCGTAGCTGGCTGACGGCATACAGACAATGGAGGTGGCAGGTGACCTGTATTCGTGACAAAGAAATAACTGCGAGGCAGCAAGAAGCTCAGGAGAGCTTGGCTTACACAAACTTATTGCTAATTCTGAAGTCGTCCCCAGTTAAAGCAAACAAACACTGCGTTAACAGTCACTACAGGTTCTCAGAGCCCATCAAACAGACATCTCAAGTGAGAGGCTGCAGTAACAGAAAAACTGGCTTCAAAAAGAAACCTGGCAGTGCTGAAGTTGTTTTCCTTATCAAAAGATCTGAAATTACCGTGCAAACATGAGAACAGTTCTTTGATACAAGTAAACACTGCACTTTCTACTCGAGTTCTAGAAGGCCTCTGAAGGGAAGCTAGGGTCTAAGAGTGGCATTAATAATAGTAGCTTTCATCACTTAAAAATGCACGTGAATCCATTTTCTCTAGTACTACCTGTCAACCTGTTGCTCTTCATTTTCAGGAGTGGTGTATAATTACAATGAAGAGGGCATTCACAGAGATACAACCGGATGGGAGCAGTGCATCAGTGTCCCACTCGTACAGCCAGATATGTTTGAGCTTCTTCAGCAGTGGGATCACCTCCTAGAGGAATTTTCTATGGGAGAGGAGTGGCTTCCTCATAGGTACGTAGCTGAAAAGGTGAATGCAATAGGAGTAGTTAGGATGATAAATTAGGCTATTCTGGTTTGGATCCTTCAGCTGCTCCTTCAAACACATTATTAACAACAAACCAGCCTAAACTCTTCCAGATTGTCTTGAAACTCAGTGATCTTGCTAATGTTTTTAAGTAGGTGAACCATAAAAGATCTGTAAGAGAATATATAAGAGAAGTTTTCTTCAGCAACAAAAGAACTGCATGAAAAAGAACACTTCACTGGAACACTACATTTAAAAGTACACCACTGTGTAAGTGTTTAACTACATGGCTGTAGACATCACAGCATGTGAGAATAAGCAAGTCTAGAGAGGCTTCAGCAATTACAGTATTATAAGAAGATGAAAGAATTTGACCCAGATTGAAGGTGTATTTGGAACACAAACCTATTGGTTTTACAAGCATTTTTGATGTTTCTCCAATTCCCAGTGCATTAAAGTTATTACTAAAATTAAATTGATGTCAAGCAATGGTACAAAGTGAGTAGATGTATGCATCTTTTCTACAAGGTTTTCTTCTATTTTCCCTGTCAGCCACCTGATAAAGCCACCTAGCTTTCCAAAAATAAGACCAGTGACCACTTAAATTGCTGAAAACTGGAGTTTAAGATGTTAAATCTTAACCCTTATTTTTCCGGTGGACTGGAACTGTGCTAAACTAACCCTGCAATTAATTTTAATTTTCTAGTTTACTTTCCATTTAATGTACATAAAGTATAAGAGTATAAGAGACCAACAAAGAACAGTGGCTGCAGACACAACTAACATCTTAAATTACAGAGATACTAATTTTCTTTGACAAGACGAATACATGCTTTCCAAAAAATCAGGTGCTAACTGGAAAACACAGATGGTAATGAGAAATGTATTACAGATTTTTTTGCATTATAAATACAAATAGATTCTGTAAATAAAGTCATGGGACTGATTTAGTAAAGCATTTTTTGTTCACATTTTGTACAAGTTTCCAGAACATGCTGCAGTGCTCTGCAGTCTCAGCACTGAGCTCAAGTGTTCCCAGCATTTTTGCAATGCAATTTCCAGTTTTGCACTGCATGATGATGATGGCTACCCTTGGAAGTTCCTCCTATTTTTTTTTTCCCCCACAATTATTTTTGTTAAAGTAAGTACACTGTAGCAAATACTTGCTTGCTTAATGGGAGCTCATAGGTCACTGCAGATAGCCTTAACAAACCAGGAGAGCTTTGAAGAAAACAGTGAGAAATCCTGAACTGGGTTGAGGGGTGCAGGGTTGCTTTTGATAGGCTTCATAACTTGCAAAAAAGCCTTGTAAATTCCCAGAGCTGACGTGCAAGCCTTGCAGGAGATTCCCTGTGGCAACACAGACCAGGGAGCCACTGACAGAATGAGACAAGGAATGCCTCACAGGGCTAGAAAGAACAAGGGAAAAGTGACACAGGATGAGGTGACTACAGAACAAGCTTGAGGATTAGGCAGATGGCAGGCAGTTTCTCAAGGCCAATTGGAAAAAGCAGCACTGTGTGGTGAAGGACAGGAGTAAATTACTCAAGTTGTCACTGGCCAACATGAAGCATTTGGCAGAATCTGGAAAAGGTTCTGACATTGAAAAATGCAGGTAAGTGTTACATGCTTCTAGCTTAGCATGGTGGGAGAAAAGTGAAGAACATTTTAAATGGCTGCAACTATTTAGTTAGTATTTATCCTTGCACTCTTGGCACTAATGACTGCCAGTGGGAGTTTGACTGGTATACTGTATCAACATATCAGTGACAAAACAGAGTTGAATTAAGATTGCAAGTTAATGCCACACTGAAGTATCAGTACTGCCACATAAGCCACACAGTAGTGCCACTGCAGGAAGACGTTTTCAAGATAACACAGTAACAACACAGAAGAGCAAAGGTTAACAAGGTAAAAACCATATAAGTATTTAAAAAAAATACTTTGAAGTAATTAGTGCTCTTACTAATGAGATCTTTTTCCTAGGTATGAAGAACAAGACCACAACTGCTACACGTATGCACTAGCATTCATTAACAGTGTACTGACTGCACAAGGAAAGCAGCAAATGAGTAAAAGTGAATTTACAGAGAAGTTTGTGATTCCACAGACAAAGAATGCTTCTAAGTATATTACTCTTCATCAGGAACTAACCACTAAAGACTTCTACATTGTACCCCTTCCTGATCAAGAAGAACAGTGCTGAAAATAAGTTGTCTCAACAGAACACAATGTATAGTTGGACATTTAATATTAGAAATCATAACGGCTGTATAATTAAGGGTTTTAACAAATCAGCTGTTGAAATAAGCTCTTTTAAATCAAACATTTTTCCCATCACACGTATGGTTAAAAAGCAAGGAATTTGTGCTTGCACGCTGCTCAAATCTCAAGTCTGTGACAAAGCAAAATCATTTTCCTTTACTTCAGCTACTAGTAAAGCATACAGTATTTATAGCAAATAAATCCAGTCTCATTGTCAGGTACATTTCTTTTCCAGTCCTTCTTTATATTTTACATGTTATTCCTCAAACCAAGACAGACCCACAGCATTAAAGGGTAGTCATACAGCATTCTATCTGTAATGAACAACAGACACATCTGGACCCATCACAGAGAAAAAAAGGTAAGAACTTATCCAAAAGCAATTTATGTTTAAAAGAAATAGAAAGATGCTCCAACAGCACTTCTACCTCTTGTACATTACAGAGAAGTGTATGCTGAGGACAAAATTTTACTGCTCATTATTCTACACACTTTTATTTACATATATTCTAGCTTAAGAAAACATGTATATCTTCCCTTCTACTAGCTTCTGCAAAGTAAACGTAGACCTGACCTAGATTTAGTTGTTTCCTCAACAATAGAGAAACAATCAAACCACTATGGTTTGTCCATATCTAGTTTATAATTTTGTAAACACAAACTGCAAAGACTACACCCCCATCTTATTTCACTTCTTGCTAAATTCTAATTCCTGGTTCCTTTAAAAGCATATTCAGAAACACAACATGATAGAGACAACCAGTTTGAAATGCTCAATTCTGCTGCTAAGAGTCCTCCTGTCCAGAAACCTTCAAGCAATTCAGAGTTCTTTAGCTAACATTTGGCTTACAAAAATAAATTACAGCATGCTATTTCTGAGTATATCAGAATCCATACCTCATTTTAAATTTTGAATTCCAACTATTGAAATATAAATACATGGCAAAGTATCAGTGTCCTGGTAGAACTATCTGCTATAAAGTATTTGTTATAATAGTACCAAAGCATGAAGTATAGTCATCTCTAGTTACAAGTACAGCACTGTGCCACATACAGTCAACACACATGCAGATATTCAGCTTGAAAAAGCAATCACTCTGCTGACATTTCCATTTTACACCTTTGTATTTAAATGAACAGGATATGCTTGGACTTTAGTCAGCATTTATACATACCAACTGAAAATGCCGATAGAAACTGATGATGAGCCATTGTCTCAGGGATCAGGTGAAAAAACAACAAAATGTTTATAAGAAGAATTAGATTCTTCCTATGATTCAGTTAAAGATCATCTTGCTCACTGCGCTCACGGGAAGACACCCAACGAGTTACAATCAGTTCCTGAAATTAAAAATAGCAACTATTATGGAAGTGAAAAGATGAAAACAATCTCAATGAGATGGTCTTAAGCATTTAGCAGACCGACTTACATGATGTAATCCCAGCAAACAGATGACTATAAACATTCCTGAAATGAGCTGGTCTCTTAGGTGTTTGGCCACGCTGCCCACAGCAGAGGGATGGTACTCAATGATCAAGGTTCCTACTGACCCCAGTCATGATTCTTTGTTCTTCTTCATTTTTAAACATCCATAAATCATATGCTCTCCATAGTTATCCCCTTTTTTTCCCCATGAAAAGGTTTCACAGTAGTAGTAACATTCAAATTTAGATCGGAAAACTTGAAGTGTTTAAAGAGGATGTAAAGCACTTCTCAAATCTTAGGGCAAAAATAAATCTAGCTATTTTATTGCAGCAATGCATGTAAAAACAAAAGCCGGCTAAAAAGCAAGCAACAATTGAAGAGGGTTCTTTTATGGTAGGTTGTTATGTGTTCAGCTGCCCCAAGGCAAATAAACAAACATGGACAAAGAAGTTATTACTCACCTGGACCTTAATTCTTTTCAAACATTCTGGCGTGGCCATCTCTTCTTCAGTCATATCAGATGGTTTAATCAAATAGCATAACATAAGTTCCTGTTGGTAAACAGAAAACAATATATTAATTTCAACTGATTTCTTTCTATACAGGTTTTAGATTAATTAGAAATGTAGATACTAAGTTTCCTAGATGATGTCTTCTGCAAATCAAATCAGAGAAGAGCTGTATAACCTGCATATCTCATTTCCCTTATCAAAGCAGAATCCTGTGTTGGGTTAAGCTATAACCATAACACAACTGAGCAGCATGATTATGAAAATAGCATTATGTATGAGACTATCACAGAAAAAGTCTTCAGGAACTTTCAATTCTACAGTTGAAAACAAAACCCTGGTACACAGAGAGGGATTTAAAGACAGAACTGGTAACTGGGAAAGAAGCGTCCCTTGCGTCTTTCAACAGTTCTTCACACAACATTTAAATTCCTGCAGAGGAGAGAATTTAATAAACTTCTTCCATATGTCATGTGGATATTAACAAATGAAACTTGCTTGCCTGCTAGCAACTCAGTGTGTTCTTCTGCACACTTGAAGCAGAATTCCCTTTCCAGCCTCATGCTCAACTCCATGTATTTTGGAACTAAACTGTGTATTTATCATTTCAAAGCTATTTTAAAATGAGTAGCTTACACCATTACCTTCGAAGCATTAACAGTTGTTCTGTTCAAACCAGACAAGGACATCCAGCTCAGCGGTCTGCGAAGAGAACCTTCAAAACTGTCATCAACTAATTCAGCAATGACAGAGTAACTGGAAAACAAAGGAGAAGGGACAATTCACAGAAAGAAAATTGTTTTAAGAAGATTGTATAGCTTAAGAATTTGAGCCAAAAAATCTGTGTTAACAATAGCCCAGCATGCAGGAAGCAAGCTAAGAAACTTAAGTCTCTTTCCACTAGGCAAGAGGAGTAAAAATCAAATTCCTAACACACTGACTGGCATTTTCCCTCCCTACCCTTCTGCTGGTGTTTGGAGTTATTCTTTTGTGGATGCCAAGCTGATATTTAAAAACAATTTACTATTTAGGTGTTAAACATGACTAGCTAAGGAGTAAAGATCATTATCATGATTAATCATTAATCTTTGGCAGGGGGGTTGAAACTAGATGATCTCTGAGGTCCTTTTCAACCCAGGCTATCCTATGATTCTATGATCATCCCTTAAGAATCATGTGTTTTTCCTTCCAAATTATGTAAGTTATCCATACTACATACTTTCAAAACTCAGTATTACTAAATGATGTCCCCAACTACATTCATCATGCTAAATATGCTCATTTCAGATTTTAATTTGTAATATTTTACTACTGTCACAAGAATACAATAAAACTGTGTTACTTAATACCTCTGTAACACTGTTACAGAGTTAAAAGAGGCATTTTTATATTCCCATATGAGCATACCTGGCAAAGTATTTTGTCTTAGGAGCATGTGCTTAACCAGTGAAGACACTAAATTAGCGTGAGAGAAATTTTCTAATTTGAAATTAAGAAGATAGCCAAAAACATAAGCTTCAAACCTTGCGTGATAGAAGGGAGGGCCCTTTCGATACAGCACTGAAAAGGAAGAGAAACACCTGAGTCAGATAATCACAGTTACTGCCCAAGTTTAACATCTTGGCCCATAAATACTTACATATGCTTCATAAATTTTAATTACACTAGACAAAAACTTCAACACTTCTGAATTTTGCTCAGAATTAAATTGTCCCAATAAGTGAAGAAGGAGAATACAGAGACAATTAATATGGGAGCAGCAGGACCAAAGAAATGGCAGGTAAAAAATGTAGAAGAGCCAAAAGAATTTAGTAATTGCCATGAGGAAAAAGAGCTTGGAATTCTTCTGCAACAGATTCATGCTTTTAATACCATATTTGCAACACAAATAGAGCTGCTGGAGTACAAGGGGAAGGTCACAGTAAGACACTGAATTCCTGTTTGAAGCAATCACCTTCCACAAGTTTTAGGGAGGCCAAAGGCACAAGTTCTTAACTACTGCCACAGTCCCATCTATAGACCCACTGAAAGTTCTCTCTCTGTGCTCATATTTCCTGCCTCCCCTCTGTCATGAGTTTGCAAGAGATTACTTTCTTTAACTAGAATATACAGCTGGCTGTCAGGCAAAGCATGAGTAGCACCTCATTCCACTAGCAATCATGATTTGCACGTTATCCATTAAAAGCAACAACATTAGTAGCATCAATTTGATAAAACTACAGCACAAGAACAAGTATCTAGAGGGCAGGGCTGAATCTTTACTAGCCTTAAACTAATCCACGTCATCTGGCACAAGATGAGCCAGTGACATGCTGAACAACAAACCTGGGCCAAATGAATTATGAACAATCTAATATCTAGTGACTAAATCAGGTGATCAATATCAGAACCTTACTCATTTGTATAGAATTCGTAGAAAATACATTTGTTCACACACATCTTCCTGTAACAACAGGCATAACTGGATTGTTTATGCCAATGTGAGCTGAATGTAGTCCTTGAATTACTTAGTGAGGGATTATGGATCTTAGGATACTTCTAATTACTTTTGTACGACAAAAAATTTCTACCACTAGCAAACAAGCAATTGCAAGAGATTCTGCTTTTTGAAGAAAGCTACTCACAGAAATCAGTTCCATACTTCAGTCCAACCTTGGGGACCCAACCCTTGCTGCGGAAGTAATGATACGCCATGTAAGTAGTTTTAAAACTAGGCTTCACTTCGCTGAAAATTTCCCATAGCTTCAAAATAGTTAAGGGCTCCTAAAAGTCACAGATGAAGGCATTAACATGATTACATTAGTATTACAGCACATGCAGAATACTGTGTGTAGTACAGAGTAAAAGCAAAATCAGACACCAGAGTCCCAACATGATGAAAATGAACTTCAGAGAACAGAATGCAAAAACCCTATATGTAAGAGAAAACGGTAGTTTCCATTTGGTTTTTTAATCATTTCACAATCAATCCCATAAGGCTCTTGTATAAAAAGAACTCTGATAAATTTTAAAATAGAACCATAGGAAGATAAAAGAGTAATCTGTATACATGATTATGCAAATATATAAATATTATCATATTCTTCCTATGCTGCCTTCTCCCATATTCATTACTTAAGCTGCAACAAACAACCTTCCTCTACAGGAAGATCCTGCTTGCCTGTATTTTGGCAGCTGTATTTGCTATGATAAACAAAACTTTCAGACCAATATGTTATAAGCAGAAACATTATTACTCGTTAGAAAAAACTTCCCAATTACTCTGCTTGGTATTCCCTCCTTTGGGATTAAGAGCATACAATACTGGTAATATTTGGTAAAAAATGCATATCAAAACAGACCCAAATGAATGGTATCCCCATCAATCCAATCTCTTACCTCACCATAATAAACAGTTAAGCATCCCAGAGCGTACACCAAGAAAAAAGCCTGAAAAACCAAAAAGAATAATTTTAACTGATATCTATACTCTTCTAGGAATTCATGTTGCAGGCAAGAACAAAGGCTCACTTTCATTTCATACAGAAATCAAGACAGACAAGTTGCTTGTGAGTTTCTTCTGAAGTTGCTAATTATAACCTTCACATAGATAGAGTACCACAAAAATTATGCACGTGCTGTTGACTCCTGAAGGCACTGTGTTAAAGCTGTGAACCATATTAGAACTGTGAATATATTTAGAAGGAGCACAACAGAAACAGGATTTACATGTGAAGAAGGGAGAATCCTATATTTCAGAGAAAGGTATTAATAAGTACTCTACTTGAAACATACCTCTTCCAAGCTGAGTTGTAAATACTCAAAAATCCTAAATGGATTTCTTCTGCAGACTAGTTTTTCCTTCTTGACAAACTACAACAAAAATTTACCACATTACTAAGATGTTAAACTGGAAAAAATACCAAATTCTTAAGTTTGCAGTTATTATAGCCATTAAAAAAAAAGAATGAGCTTACATTTTCTTGCTCGTGAGCAGAGCCCTCTTCAGGACATAAGCTACCATCTTCTTCCTCTTGCACAAGCACATACTCTGGAGCACATTCTCTTGACTTGGCCATGTTGCACGATTCTTGCTCGGGGCCCCCCTCAGCCTCACAGCCATGATGCACATGAGAAACATGCTTCTGGCAGGACACTTGGGCTGCCTCTTTCACAACAGCAGGCTCCTTTTCTTCCGAGCCAAGAGCAATCACGACATCAGAAGCCAGATCTCCTTCTGCACAGGCTTTCTGGCAGACCTCCTTCTGAGGCTCAGGACTCAAAGTCACTATGTTTCCAGCGTTTATAGAAGATTGCCTGGAAAGTTCTGTATTTTCTGCGTTTGGACCCATTGTGTCGCAGCTATCACCAGTTTGCTCAGCTCCACCCTTTTCCAAAAATGGAAATTCAAGAGGCCTAGTGTAATTCTCAAGAATTTTGGTCACAGAGCAGCTATCAAATCCTTGCTCTTTCAAGGCACTTTTAGCCCACTGAACACGCTGCTGATACCTAGAGAACAAGTAAAATAAATGAGAAGTTTCAGGGCTTTATATCCTCTAATTAACACCTTAAAAACTTTGTTTAACAACTTAAAAGCTTTGTTAATTTCTGTGGTAACAAACACTTACAGAATGCTGTGCAAGAACCAGACTTTGAGGACTGTTGTGATGCAGTTTGAAGGACCAGGAATTTGAAGGGAAAAAAGAAAACATTCTTGCACAGAAGCCTTAAGTGTGAATTCTCTACAAAAAGATCTCTGTATCAGAGCTTGAGTGATTAAACATTGCAAGCAGGACTCAGTATACAGAGTTCTCAAAGACATCATCTATTACACAGCCCACTACTGAGAACAGTTATCTTCAACTTATTTTAATTACCTTTGAAACAACAACAGAGTAGAAACGTGAAAGTTTTAAGGAGGAACTGCCTTGAGTTTTAACCAAAAATCCCCCATCTCTGAGGACTAACAGTGATACAAGCAGAGAGTTACTAGCTGAGAACTGTAAATATTTCTTCTAATATTTTTTCAGTGAGTTACAATAATCCCAGCTGTTAGTTTGTAGCTCTCATTAAAGATAACGTTAATATCCAGTTTAAGACAATCATCTCTCTGTGAAAGTTTCAAGTAGCTGAGTACAGTTGTCCTTAATCAAAGCTGGACAATTCTAGTACTATATTTGTTATTTCCCAAAACTTTTACAAAGTCAGAGATCAGATAACGTAGAGCAGCAAAAGCAATTAAATGTAAATTTGAAGTGTCAACAACAAACAAATCCCCTCTGAAATCTAACAAAGCTACATAATTCAGTGCTGTACTTTTTGTTACAATAAAGACTCCTCTATGTTCTATGTGGATTTGGAGTTACAGACCTCTGTTGGGACAGGTCACCCCACACACCTGTACCAACACCACCACACTTCTAATGCTCACCTGCCTTTACACATTCAGTGCCACACAGCAGTGTTTCTGTGAGCAGTAGCAATGCCACTACCATTTGTTTTACCTAAAGCTGAGGGCCCAAGGAGCCAAACTTTTAAGTAATTTTTTCTTCTGTCATCGTAGAATGAAAGCAAACACAGCAGCTAACATGCCTGCTCCATGGTTCGTTCATATGCTATGTAAGTGGAACTAAGTAAATATGTGATCCAACACCCCATTTTGTCAAATGCACAAACTAGCAATATTAAGAGATAATATAGAAAAAAAAGTAAATTTTTATGCTACATAAATGCCTAAGAGCTTCTTCAGCCCAGTCTATATTAATTCAATAAGGATATGGGAAGGTTTTCCAATAGCCTGCCCCAGAAACCTCTCACTCCCTCTCAGCTGAAGAACAACATCATTATGCTTGACAATACGAATTCATTACCCACACTTAATCTTGGCTTTTATTCAGCAGTTAATACAGGTAACCTTACATCAGAAACCATACTGAGTATCACCTAATCTATTTCCAGTTTTCTGAATGCAATTTAACAGTGAAATAAAAAGAAACAGAAGTCACCAGCACTGACACAGCCCACAACCTGAAAGCAAGCAAGATAAGACATGAACTAAATTCTCCTCCCCTCTTAAAAGTAACATAAACTGACTTACTTTTTCGATGTGATTATAGGCATGTTTAGGTTGGCACCTGTTATTAAGAGAAAATCACACACTGTATCATCAACATAAAAATTTCATGAGATTTTGATCACTGAGATAATTACTCGTGCTTTCAATAATCCATGCCATTTTGGTCCTACTTGCATTGGAAGGACACGGGAGAACTAGAAATGGCACAGAGGTAACCAAAGGTAAAGCAGAAGATCAGCTAAACACACCGATTTTCTCCAGCCTTTACAGAGACAGTTACATAAGGAGACTGCCAAATCCAGCAATGTCTATGGGATTTAATTGCTGTGAAAAATATGGATAAAGCATGACAGTCTCTCCTTAATGAACCAAGAGCACACCAGATGTAACTACTGTTTAATCTACTGTTAGTAGATTAAAAAATCCACATATCCTTGCCTCATGAGCAGTAAGAACTGGGGTTTAAAGCCAAGAAAAGCCTGACAGTTGTAGGCAGAAAAGTCCAAGGATGACATCTTTATTTAGCAGAGCTCCTGAACAACACCTCAGTGGAGCCTGGCAGGATGTACGGAAGGATAACTAACACTTGGTTTTCCTAGGAGTCTCATACTGGGCATTATCAGAGAGACAATATGGAAACAGGTTGACTCGTAGCACAACGGAGTACTTTGTGTGTGACTTATAGACATGTATTCAATGAGCGACATCAGAAGTGTTATATGAACAGTGAAAAGAAGTACAAATGGGCACAGCTTACCTTGCCATTTGGAAACCAGTGAAGGATCAGAAATGCTGTACACTGGTCGACTTCTTGAAAGAATGCCTTTTCCAAAATAGCCCTTCAAAGAAAATGAAAAATCCTCATTTTATCATTGGAAAGATGGAAGAAAACTTACTTCCAAACTACAAAACATTTACTGCCTTTGCCTGCTGACAAAAATAACCAAAATCCTGCAGCTTTTTACCTTGGCCCAAAGCTTGTTGTTTAACCTCTGGTAACTAATTTAACGTTTAACGTTTGCACGTGAAAGTTTAATTAAGGGAACGTTGGGTCTTTTTCCTCAGTTTTAAATATTCGTCCGACAACTTCTCTGAAAGCAGAGGTGGAAGAAGCACCTGTGTATTAACACTGTGACATAAGGAAAACAGAGGGCTACAGTAACTGCACGAGAATGGGGATGGAGGGGTCAGTGGAGGCCTGACACACGGCAGGGCGGGCAGCACCTTGCTGTACAGCTGCTCCACGTCCTCGGGGCTCCGCACCACGACGCTGTTGTTGACCATGTCAGCCCGGTACATCCTGAAATCCCCCCCGCCGGCACCCACAGGGAAAGGCGCCTGGTAGCACTCAAACACCCTTCTTTTCCTTCTCGGGGGACGGAAAGCGGCTTCGGCCATCTCCCTACAGCACCGCCTCCTGCTAGAAAGCGGAAACGAGACGCACTCAGCGCCCTTAGCGTTCACACACGCTGTCCCAGCGCTGCCCCCAGCCGGCACCCGCCAACCCGCGCGTTTCGAACAGCACGAGGCGCGGAACCAGCGCAGCCCACAGCACGCGGCCGCCCGAGCGCAAACTACTTTCGGCCACAGCCAGGACGAGCTGCCGGGAGCGGGCCCGGCTCCACGGCCGCCCCTCAGCGGAGCCGCTCGCACGCACCGCGCCGCGCCCGGGGAGCGGCCGTCAGTCACGCCGCCCGAAGGAGGCGGCCCGGCCGGCAGCGCGGCGCCGCACCCTCGGCGACCATCCGCGCGGCACCGCCCCGCCCGGCGCCGGCGGTCCCGCCCGGGGCGAGGCGCTGTGAACCGGGCGGGGAGCGGAGCGCCGAGCCCCGGCCCCGCGGCCACCACCCCTCGGCGCGACCGCACGCACCCGGCCCCGCCGCCGCAGCAGCACCACTACGCTCCGCCTCCAGGCGGCCGCGCCTGCGCGCGAGCGGCGGTGGCGGCGGCGGCGGTTGTGGGCGCGGGAGGGCGCTGCGCTCGTTGCCAGTTTAGGCCGCGCTCGGCAAAGTCGCAATGATACGCACAGCTACAGGGCAACTGCGGCTCCTCGCTCCGAGGTGCTGTGAGGGATCGAAGGAAGGACATCGGTCCTGGGAGCAACCCAGCAGAAAGTCCGATCAGCGAACGTGCTGATGACAAGATGCAAAAGCACAGTGCTGCTATGAGCAATTCATTTATCCCCGTTTAAAAGACCTGGGAAGAGGAATGTAGGTTATAAGGCCACGCAGGAGTCAGAGCTAAATGTGAGAAATCTAAACAAGTGCTTCTTTTGCCACCATGAAAGTACCTGTGTGTTAAAACAAAATAAGCAAGTATCAAAAATGTCACTTGGCTTCAGAATTCCCGATAAATTTGTCAAATCAAGTTGCTTTCAAATGAAATTAGAGTTTATCTAGGATAGATAAGCCTGTATATTCCCGCTGTGCAGACACAGTGCTGTGAGACGTACGTTACAGCGAGCAGCAGACAAAACAACAACAAGCTACAGGTCAGTTGCTTTCTACCACATCTCATTATCTTCATACAGCCTTGAAAGGAAACCACAGCGTACGCCATTCCGTCAGTTCACTAAATCACACTCCTTTCATCAAGTGAACATGCAGTGAATATCTGTTCCCATTTCTTTTTCTGATTATAAGTCTAGATTGTTCTTCAACCAGAAAAATTGCTATCTGCAGGACAAGATCACTTTAAGATGAGTCATTACAATACACGTATATGTTATTTTAGAATATCAGCAGTTGCACAGACACTTTCGCAGATGTCTGGATTTCCCTTTTTATGATGAGACAGCAAATGACACAGCAGCAGCAAGATGACTGGGCAGAACCTCTGGAAAGCAGATGCTGAGGATTACAGAGAACCACGAGTTGGAAATTGGTCAGAATGTGAAAAAGGGTATCGTACTGGTGTTTACATGCAGGAGTGCCATATCCAAGGCATGAAGTGAATGAGCATTTCTTTTACTAAGAACCTGAACGGAAGAGTGTCCAGTTAGAAGAATGGGTCATGATAAATGTAGAGCAATTGGACAGAGTCAAGAAGAGTGTGACAAGAGTGACATGAGGAAAGACATGAGTCATTTCATGACTCAGTCTAGAAAATGTAAAATGAACAAAATAGGCCATTACAGAGAGGGAGATGCTTTTGTTTTATTTCCATTAGTGGAAATTCTAACAGCACGCTAGTTAAATATTTTTCAGATGCAGCTGAAGTTGATCCTGACTTGAGACAAGGGACTGCAATAAAAGGACCAAAGATGACTTTGTGGCAGTTTTCAGGATTTATCCTTTCTGTTTTTCTGATCTCTGCAGTGCCATGGAAACTGCAATACCCTGTACTGCCCTACAGAGGCTGAAAGGCTTTTGTTAAATCATCTCGCAGACTTCCATTTCTGTTATGTGGTCTTTTGGTTTAGTAATGTCTTCATGAGAATAGACCATTTCATGCTGTGTGTGGCTGATTCATTGCTTCTGATGCAGGGCACTCCATTACTTACTACTTCTTGATTCTGAGCTTAATTATTCTGTTGACTTTATTCAATTGAGGTCCAAACTGATGCCAGCTTTCTGAAAAGTCATACTGCAAGCTTGCCTGGAATCATTAGATGAAGTAAATTCCATGTATGCAATGAGAACTCAAATTTACTAACATTTAAAATATAATATTAATTAATTTTCATGCTATAGAGACTCTAGTGCCAATAAAACTAAGTTCCACATGCAGGGAAGTGCTGGAGAGTTATGCTAACAAAGGGGTTATTTTGGGGGTATCTGGAGACTTTTGGAAGGAGTTGGGAAGTTAGTTCCCAGTCCCACCTCAGCCAAAACAGGTGAGGTACCTTTTTAAATACATAATTTACAATCTTAAGCTTATTAGAAGAAATAGAAATATCAGCCTGTAAAACTATTTGCCCATGTAGCATTTTCTTGTGTTTTCTCAAGGAAGTTAGTAATAAAACTGTAGAAGAATTACATATTCTAGTAATGTCTTTCGTCAATTTTAGATGCCATACAAAACAAAAAACAGTTTTGCATAAAATCTCACAAAAAATAAGTCATAATTTGTCATTAGATTCATTTCTCTTTCTGGTTTCAACAAAATGTTCCTGCAAAATTTTCTTAGCCTGTGCTGGTTGTAGTCAAGAGAAATGTTTTGACATGTGTTCTTAAAAAAAAAACCATTTCTTTCTCACAAGGTGATCTGAACAGTAGTTGGGAGGATGGGCTGTTATTTACATTTGCAGTTCCAGTTTCCCTGGATCAGCAGAAATTCCCATGGAAATTCTGGTTACATTAACTTTGACAGAGATATGGGACTGTTTTTGGAAACTTAAAAATAATAATAATAATAATAATAAAAACAGCAAGGGAATACTTCTCATTTTTTATTAATATGTAATATCTTTTTTTTTTAATTAAAGAAATAAATCAAGGTTAGTTCCTGCTTAGTTTCAGATGGCTTTCACAGGAGACAAAAAAAGAGAAGTCAGACAAATATTGGCGACACATCAACCCAGTTAGAAATCCCACAGCAGCAGAAATCCCAAGGTGGACAGCAGTAAGTGAATAGCATGAGAAAAGAGAACACCAAAAATGAATGTGTAGCTATCATGATTTTGCATTTGTGAAGATTAAAACACCCTTTAGTGAGGAAGTCCTACGGAACCATTGGATCCTGCTGACATTCCATCCTATCAGCGTATGACCTGAGGGCTCCCTGCAGACATTGCAGTGTGCAGGGACAGTTTTTGTCCTCACAGCTAGCTCTTGGTTTGTATTACAAACTTTATGCATTTGAAATGATGTGAACATTAAATTTTGTCTGCATCAAGGCTTTAAACACCCCCAAAGTTATTGCTTTCCTTCTCCCCATAGAAATTAATGCAAAAGGTCTGAGCTTGCAATTTTAGGAGTGTTTAAAGGCACTTACAGCCTCTGATTTTCACCCATCCCTTGAGCTCCAGTATCACATTTATTTACCTCTTGTTTGAGAAACATTTGTTCCTTCATGGGTCATTAGTTTTCCTGCTTCATCAATTGCCCAGGTAAGTTAAATGACGCACAGCTTCTATTTTGCCAAGTTCTGGCTGCGTCACCTTCACCTCCTGCAACTGAGCAATTGGCCAAGCAGCAAAAGGCAAGGAGAACTCCAAGCTCCAGCAAGACCATCAGTAAAAGGCCATTTCATTTTCTGCATTTCCCTAGGAAGGAAAACTGTAATAATTAGATGTCTCCACTAGATGTCCATATTTCAGCAATTTTTGAGTCATAACTTCAACGAATACAGTTATCTGGTGCAAAATGCATATGAAATGCTCTGCTCCACTAAAAGATGTAAAGACAAGATAGACTTTCATGCTAGTGAAGTTGTGTGCCTTTTTCCCCCCAGCATGGCTTCTAGTTTTCCTATACACAGTTCTATTTTAGGACTTAGATGAATGCAGATCCCCAAACCAGTGGCTTAGATTTTTAGCTATGCCTGAATAATTGTTAAAAAATTACTTTGCTCATTATATTTATCTTAAATATTGATATCCAGTATGTACCTACTTCTCTAATGGATGCTGTGCTTGTGTGGACACGTGTATGGTAACTGAGCACATGCTCTTTTTTTATGCTTACAGTTAAAAATAAACTGTATGCGAACAAGCTTTTGGCCTTGGTATTAATTGACTGAAGATGCTTATCGCTGTTCTGGCTGGGCAAAGGACCATCATGGCAACTGTGAATGGCAGCACCTGCACTTCAGTGTGTGCTCATCTCCTGCCAAAGCAGTGAGTGCAGTGCTCATGGAAAATGCCAGGCTACAGCTCCAAACATCTCTTTGCATGAACTGGCAGACAGCATCTCTGTCATCAGCCTGCTCATTTGCCTCAGTGTATCTGGAGAGTTGTCTTGTGCCAAATTGGTAACATTTTTACTCACTTCCCAGATTACCTGCATTACTGCAAATATGGGTACCTGTTTATATTCTCTGTAATGTCTTTGTGGTTTGTATGCCCACTCATTAATAATAATAGGGAGGCTGACAATTTAGTTCAAATACTAGGCAATTCCAAGAAGCTGAAATGACAGCATTAAGATTACAGCTAATCCTGAGCTAAATTCCATTCTAGGAATAACCCAGAAGAGAGACTTTTTTCACTATTTTTCTTCTGGTTTCCCATGCATTTTCAGTTATATTAAACTTAAGGATAGAATGGATTTTAGAGAATGCTATGTATCACACCATTGAACTTTCAGAACCAGCTGCAAGCTAGGCACTAAAAATTCACAGTTCATGTAGATATGGGTATACCATCTAAAATTAAATTTGTCTCCAACACTTCTACCTCATTTTCAATATTAAGGAATGTGAAATGTGTCTCAAAGTTCATCCTACTTTTTTTACTGTTCAACAAAATTTGGTGTCAGTCCTTTTAATCTCAACACTCTCTGACCCAGGAGCATGCTTTAACATGGCTGTCTGCCTCTAATTGCATAAATAATCCTACTGGGATTCAGATATTATCTGAAATGTGTCTCAAAGCTCATCCTAAATGCTGTCTAGGTTCCTATGTCATAACTGAAAAAAGGACAAAACAACAAGTAAATCAGGAGAAATTCCTAAATCATCACATTTCTAAGAATTGAAATAAACCAAATAAATCAATTTGTTGCCAGAAGTATTTATGTTTTTAAATACAAAATGACAGAACATCCTCTTATATCCCAATTCTCAATGTTTACTTTCCGTTTGTTTAATAACAGGAAAAGGTTTGTAGCTCTTTTGTTGAGTTTTTCATGTCAGCATCTTCAAATACCTATGGTATTCTTAAAACTTTTACCAGGAAAAAAAACAGTGCCATGGCCTATACTGGGAAATGTTCTGTTTATTTTAGATGCATTTATGAGCACACAAAGGCAAACAATTGCCTATCATAAACAGAGTGAGCAACTTATAATGGCTTAGTATCTCATTTGTACTTCTTTGTATAGTTCCTTGGCTCATTTGTCCCTGCCCTTCCTGTGTTCTGTTCATTACCTCTCCCTGTACCTTTTGAACTCAAGTGTAGATTAAATGCTTTTTTTTTATTTCCCCATTACCTGCTGGGTTCTGCTTCTTTGGTGTCTCAGCCATAGGGAGTATTGGGCTAAAGGTTTATCATATAGCTGTTACTGGATCCACAGGACAGGGCTTGTCACGAGCATGAAGTGAAAGAAAAAGCTGAGGGGATGCTGGGATGCTTTTAAAGTACACTACTCTTACATGAGACTCTGGAAGAAAGCATGGCTAATAGCTTTCAAGTATCTGTAGACTTCGTATAGAAGTATTTCAGTCTAGTTTGGCCTTGCCTTTTCTATGATGGCATGTTCTATGGTAGCAACTGAAGCAACTGCAAAGCAAATTTTGGCCTAACTGTTTTAAAAACATTGGATATTTCTGCTGCTGTAGTACAGATCAAGCTATACCAAATATGCTAGTTCTGTTCACATAGTTATTACATGAGGTGGACTCGTGTGAACAATGAGTAAGGAACAAACAGCTGGATTGTCTAGGGTGGCAACTGTGCACAGTAGAGATTAAAATCCAGGTTTTAGATTTTAAGAAAAAAAAGTAACTGATATAAAAACATGCAAACAGTAAGGAAATCTTTTTTCTATGTGTAAAGCCATGTAAAACAAAGTCATATTGGCATAGGTGGTTAGCTTCATGGAGGCTGCCAAGACTTGGGCTTTGAGAACATCTTACATACTTCAAGGAACTGGATGAGACTGCATCTTAACCCTTTTGCTCTGTGTCTTCACTAATTTAGCTACACAACAGATCTATGGCATGAAGTTTCAGAGGTAAATATCAGGCTAAGACAGGCTTCATTGCTGCTTCCTGATCATTGTTACTACGGTGAGATTGAGCAGAAAACTAGAAGGATCATCAGCGCTGCTTTAAAAGTGATGCACCTCACATTCACTGAATAAAAAAGCTACGTTGTTGATCTGAAATAGTTTAATAGTATGTTCATTTATGAAACACCTTCCATAATTCAGATGATCATGTCTGAATAAATCAGACATGGGTTACAAATGGGTAAATCAATCACAGCCCTTTAAAACTATATGCTTCTATAGGCATGCTGCTTCAATTAAAGTGAAAGTCTTTATAGCAAGATACAAGTCTGTTGAGTGGAATTTGAATAGTATTTAGTAAGAAGAGCTCTGCAAGCAAGACATGATTTGGAAATCTCAGAGCAAATTGGAAGGAGGTGGTCCAGAAAGATCTTCTCCATTACATTAAGAATTGAAAATCTAAGCATGTTAACTCTGATCATAGAATCATAGAATCATGGAATCATAGAATCATGGAATCATGAAGGTTGGAAAAGACATCTAAGATCATTTAGTCCAACTGTCCACCTACCATCAATACAGTCCACTAAACCATATCCTCAAGTACTAAGTTTACCTTTTCCTTAAATGCCTCCAAGGATGGCAACTCCAACACTTCCCTGAGCAACCTGCTCCAGTGTCTGACCACTCTTTCCAAGAACAAATTTTCCTATTATCTAACCAGAACCTCCCCTGGCACAGTTTGAGACCATTCTCTCTAGTTCAATTGCTGTTACCTGGGAAAAGAGGCTGACCCACACTTTGCCGCAGCCTCCTTTCAGATAGTTGTAAAGAGCAATAAGGTCTCCCCTGAGCCTTCTCCAGTCTAAACAATCCCAATTCCCCCAGCCACTCCCTCTCAGGCTTGTGTTCCAGACCCTTCACAGCTTTGTTGCCTTTCTCTGGACACGCTCCAGGCCATCTTTCCTGTAGTGAGGGGCCCAAAACTGAACATAATAATTGAGGTGCAGCCTCAGTAGAGCTGAGTACAGAGAGATGATCACTTCCCTGCTCCTGCTGGCAACACTACTTCTGACACAAGCCAGGATGCCATTGGCCTTCTTGGCCATCTGGGCACACTGCTGGCTCAAGTGCAGCATTCCAGCCACTCTGCTCCAAGCCTGCAGTGTTGCCTGGGGGTTATTGTGACCAAAGTGCAGGACCCAACACTTGTTCTTGTAACTCCATCCTGTTGGCCTTAGCCCATTGATCCAATCTATCCAGATACCTCTGTAGGGCCTTCCTACCCCCAGGCAGGTCGACTTCCCCCCAACTTGGTGTCATCTGCAAACTTACTGAGGATGCACTGAATTCCCTTATCCAAATCATCAATAAAGATATTAAAAAGAATAGGCCCCAGTACTGACCCCCTGGTGGGGAACACCACTTGTGACCTGTCACCAGCTGGATTTAATTTAATTCACCACCACTCTCTGGGCCCAGGCATCTAGCAAGTTTTTTCTCAGCAAAGAGTGTACCTATCCAAGCCACGGACTGCCAGCTTCTCCAGAGAATACAGTGGGAGACAATGTCAAAAGCTTTGCTGAAGACTGCACAGACAGCATTTCTGTCATTCACCAACTGGGTTACCTGAACATAGAAGGAGATCAGGTTGGTTAAGCAGTATCTGCCTTTGGCTGGTCCTGATCCCCTGGTTGTCTTGCACATGATTGTGATCATGGTCACTGAAATAGGTGACTGTGTTAATATGAACATAATAGTAAGATTATATTAACAACATGAGCAAATTTAGAGGCAAGAACAGGACAAAACTGGTTAGTCAGGCTCTTTCTGAACAGTCACTTCAAATCTCAGAGAATGTTAGGTTGCTAACTTTTTGAAAGAGTGGTATTTTATGTTGCATTTGACACATAGGTGGATGAATTAATACAGAAGCTGTGATACTGGAGAAGAATTAGGTTTCATTGCTCAAAATGGTTTTTTTTTTCACCTTGGAATAAATAAAATTAGTAACTGTTAGAACTATTTTGAAGTAAAAAGAGGAGACTAAGCACTTTATTTTTACCATTATGAGCTATTATCCAAGCCCACACTGGATGCTGACCTTTTGTGTATTTAACTCAAGGCTAAACTGAAGTGCTTGGTCTTCACTGTGCTTTTAACTCAAGACTGCTTTTGCGCGTAAACTACCATTAAGTAAAAATTGTAGCATTTTCAGTAACCTAATTAAACTCTTACTGTATGCTTCTCTAAGGTAATTTTCAAATAAAATTTACACCAAGCTACAGTTCTTCTGCTCTCACTCATTATATGTAAATCCAGAACAGATGCAAGCAGCTGAAGTAATATAGGTGGCTGCATTTGAACAGCAACAATCTTGTCATTACAAGGCAGCACAAAACCTATACATAGAGTGTGTAAAGCTTGTAACCCACAGCATTTCTTACACCTTTTCCCTGGCAACAGACAATAAAATGCGTGTGTAATCCACTGATCTAAAACGTGTTGGCTTTCAACATTTTTTGCATTTAATATATGTGATTTCCATTTCATTATCTCCTGAAACATTAGAGAAAAATGAGGGATATTTGAATACTTCACACCTTCAACCTGTCACAGATGGAAAGCTCCACTGATGGATGAATACGTTCCGTCATTGTATTGAACCCACAGAGTGCTGTAGGAGACTCACAATTCTGCAAAATGCTTTTAGGGCACTGCATTAGGTATTTGGATCTTGGACTGGGAAAATCACTTGTAACCAGAGAGCACACTGATGAATATGCCCATGAGAGGGCTTATGTCTGGGTTTCCTAAAGTAGTTGAAGACTGAAATAACTTATATATTCCAGATATGATTGTATGAATTTAATATATGGGATGCCTGGAACAATGGGACAAAACTTCCCAGTTTGCTGCATTATTGTCCACTCTGGTGGACATAGAATCTTTGTGTGCTGTTACATAGGATTTAGTTATTTGGGGAATTATTAGAGAAAATTTCATGAATGAACAGTCTCCAAGACATATGTATTTCATATTTGTATTCTGCTTATATTTGTATTACCTGCAAGTTGTCAGGGTGTAGCTTCAGTTTGGGAGTCTAATTCTAGAATCATATAAGGACAGATTCATTATGTTTTACAGACCACAGCAGTGGAATGACATCTGAACTTTACTACCCACATTACTGATAGCTGCATACACTCTCTAGCTATCCTGGCAGTCACCTGGTTTACTAGGCCAGTTTTCCTGTCCACTGATATGCCCATATGACACATTCCTTCCTTTTTGATTAGATACAGATTTCTGTGCTTACTTCTGAAGAATGTTACAGTTTAAGGCATGCATGCTTTTCCTTATTATTTTATCACATTCCAGAGGCTTGTGTGTGAGTGGAAACTGCTTCTTTAATTTTCATTTCACTTTCAGATGTAAGTTTTCCTATTAGTATTGCTTAATGGTACAACCAACCAAGGTTTATCTACCTCTTGAAAAACAAGTTCTTCTGTACTTCTAAATTGTGGCAGAAACACCTATCTTTTTCTGTCACAGTAATATCCTCAGAACCTTAATGTTCATCAATCACTGAGTTTATAGCTAGCTGTGTCTTGTCTCGGGTAAGGTCTAACATTTTCTAAGGCAGGGATTGTTACAGCCCCCAAATAAAATCTCGTTCCTCCTTGAATCCCTAGCACAGCCTTAATGCAAATATTACGGCAGTGTGGATCATTCTGTGGAACAGAAGTTACTCAGTGGAAAGTCTCGCAGGCCTTAAATTAGCAAAACTTTTGTAAAGTTCCTATTACTAATCTATAGAGTTTATAGCAAAGGTGTTGAAATCACTTACGCTTTTGCTGACTCATTTCCCCCATGGGACTGCTGATGACCTCAGAAATACCCTCACAGAAGTTCAGGGCACATAGTTGCCATCTGTAATATAAAGAACATACTGACCTCTTGGCTCTAGTTCACCTGAAAATTTCTGCTTAAATATACCTTACTGCACTGCAAAAACAAGTCTATTTCAAATGCCATTTTCTTTTATAATCTGTTCTGACTCAGATGCTAAGCGAGTATGGTATTTACAAAATATCTGTATCACCGTGAATTTATCTCGCCAAGAGAAGTTAAATGGTTACATATTAAAAAAGATTTTATAAGCATGATATGGCACAGTAAACATTAGTAAAAGCTGTTCTAAAACTATTTCTGTCTTTTGTTGAGAAACAAATTATTGAAGCTTGAAGGGGAAGACTGCTTTGTAAAAGGAAGGAGAATTAAACGTACTGGGGTTTTAAAGGAACTCATAATTGCTGATTAAGTTCTTTCTGTAGAAAAACAACTAATGTTTTCTTCTTTTTTGATTCTTATATCAGGCCCAACTGCCAGTAAGTGATTTTCTTTACTGTGGGAAGAGGTTTATTTTTAGACATAAGAACAGCATAAGGACAGCAGAATGAAAATCAAGGCGTCTGCATGCTAAACAAACTACCACACGCTCAGCCTCTTGGTGTCAGCTCATTCATCTCACTGTGCTTCAGCTTAACTTTCTACTAGAAACAACTTTTCAGTAGCCACCTGACAAGCCTATCTGAGTCCTTCTTATCTTCCTGAAAGCATCTTTCAGTTTTTAGCTTCATGCCTTATAACTTTAGTGGGATTGAATTCTGCAGCACATTGAGACTCAGAGTGGAGTTGGAATTTCATCTTCTTTTCTATAAGTTTGTCTGTCAGTCCAAAATCAGGACTGTAACTGTTATTATTCCCTTTTGAAGGCAGTACTTAACAGTGCACTTTTAAAGCAAAACTATCAATCTCAGTATGTAAAAGATACAAAACTAATATGTCTTATCAAATGTTTGACATCACCAGATGGCAACGTGATAACAAGCCATTAAAATAGTTGCATTTTTTAGATGCCTGCTGGTCTATTTATACAATTCTTCTATTTAAATTATCACTCAGTTACTTTATTATAAATTGAGACATCCGGGAGATCTGCTTTTTGAAAGAATGATTTTCTTAGCTCTTAAAGGTATTTGTTTCCACCAGCGCTGTTTACTGAGCTATAGTTTGTGCTGAGCTAATACTTTTCCTTTCCATTACCATATTGTTGAATCAATGAATCAACAGAGAAAATAATTCTAATACAGTCAGTGTAAAGTGTTCATTGCATTATTAAAGAACAGAATATTATCTAGCTTTCAGAAGTGTTGAAAGACTATATTGGTTAATGCTTGAGAAATTCTCTGAGATCCATACACAATCTTTGGTAAACATGCTGTTTCGTTTAAACTAATGGCAACTCTGCTCTAAACACAGATTGCACAGTTCTTCTTCAGCACAGAGTTGTACTTTGCTCATATCAGCTGACCAATTAAAAAATTGTTTTTTTCACTTCTCATCCAGGAGAATTAACACAAGTCCAGTGAGTGAACTGCTGATTACTGTCCACCTCCTGAAACTTCAAAAAGAAATGTTTGTTGAGTTTCAATCAATTACTTCTACACAAAGTTCTTGTAAGTGACAGGCAGGACACTGAGGCTGTTGTTTGCTGATAAGGGGCATAATGTGAATTAATTTGAAGACCTAATTTGACCTCTATACTCTACACTTTTGAACATATGCAGGAATTTTTATAAGAATCTTATGTTCCAGAAACCAGGCTAAATTTTCCAGGCTTGTATAGTTGGCAAAAAAATATTTCTGTGATGTCCCCAGTCGTAGCAATAGTTGGTGTGATTTCATATGCACATAATTCTATGTGCCTATTGTCACCAAATATACGACATGACAAAGTTGTATGTTTGTGTCAGCCCTTTCACATTTTTTCCTTGCTATGAAAATCATACAAATACTCATGGATTCTTGCATAAATCTTAAGACTTGATAGTGCTGGATACTACATATATTAATGGAAAGATTATCCAATGACAGCCTAATGTCAGCAACGTGTATTAATGGAAAGTCTTGGGACTACAAACTATTAACTCAACTCATTGCAAGACTGTAGTGTGATTGCATCAGTTCTTGCAATGGGTGTATGAATCCCTTGAGTCAACACTGTCTGATTTAAAAATGACTTGTGGTTGGATTTGAATACTTGGAATAAATAAAACAGCAACTGACTATTATGCAAGGCCTATATACCTTCCCCATGGACTTTCACAAAGATGCCACATTTCTGACACCTTTCCAGCAGGCTTAGAGATTCCATGGTCTAAGCAAGACAAGATGCTAGGCTACACATTTGAATACCGGGTCCTATTCCACATTCTGACATGCAGTTGGGAAATAACACCTCAGTCATTCACTGTCCTTATTTGCAAAACAGAACGAAAGAACTTATGGACTTACTTTAATGTTAACAGAGAACTGTTATTTAAGACAGTTAATTTCTCATAATTCCTTTAAAAATCATTCTAAAATGATTATGTGTTCATAGAAATAGTAATATCTATCTAAATGCAAATTTACTCCATTAAGTATCTATAATGCATATTTAAAATCTCCATCAATCTTCTTACTCCATAAGGAATATTCTAGTCTCCTAGGGAGGCAGTAGGAATTTGAGAATGCTTTCTAAAGCACGCTCAGGGTCTGTATGCAAGCAGTAGCAAATTGAAAAGATCTCAAAAATATGGATTAAAGAAAAACTGGTGGTAAGGAGAGAATTTAACTGTTCATTCACCCCTACAGCTCTGAACCAGCAACAATGGCAGAAGTCTAGGTTCTGAAACACAGAAAAGGCAACACTGTGACACCTGATAAAATGTGGATCAAATTGCATCAATTCTAGAGAATCTGAGTGCCATCCATTATTTACTTCAGTGCAGAATTACTGTACCAATAAAACAGGGCAAATACTGATACAAAATGAATTCCTTGCTTCTGCTTTCAACTCTTTGTGACAATATTCAAATGACAGTGAATTAGAAAAGAGGGGAGAAATAAAATCTCTCATGCTTTTTTAATAAAAATCTTCCCATATAGATATCCACTAATAGGCCAGAAAAATCACATAGCCATTGCTAAACTGCAACAGATCCCATTTCATTCTAATCTAATATTTTGTGTTCAGATTAGACCTTTCCTCTTGCTTAAAGGAAGGTGTGAAAAAATAATGTGAATTGTTGCATTTGTGAAAAATAAATAAATGTGTGGAGTACTCACTCAAGACCTCAACTTCATGGATTTGAAGTAATTCTCAAGAGATAATCTCTTTCTCAGAATACAACTGCAATAGCTATGGTATATCAAGTTTCAGAAGAAAGAAACCCTCCCCTTGATACCAGCTCTGAAGCCACAGACACAGCAGCACAATGGTTCCTGTTCTGATGATGGCACACAGTAAGATGGTTTCTGAATCTGTGATTCTAGACCACCAGTGCCAGACGTGCTTCTCTGCTACTCACACGCATGCAATCATTTCAGAGATGTGCAAAATAGCCTCATGCATACAACTACTGAAAGGCTAGACATTATTTAGGTTATTTCTATCTATCATTTTTTTAAATAAGAGGCTTAGGATTATGAAGGACCTGGAGTTCATCACGGTAACTTAGATTTCTGCCTAGAATATCCGTATAGATAATCTCACCAGCGTTTCTTCCATGTATCAGAATTTCAAGGCAAACTCATCTGTTTAGTCTCTCCTACTTTGCTGGAAAGTTAAATAAGGTCAATGTATAAAATAACTTCAATGTACGCACTACCTATGATGTAACAACTTCTATATACACGACAGCATATCTACATTTAAGCCGCTAACTGCTAGTAAGAAAACAGATAAGAGGTGTGTTTTATTTAACATTTCTGTGAAGCAGCACGTACTCGAAATTAGCAGATTCTATCAGTGAAGAAGAAAAGGTAGTGGATATAATTTTATTTTATAAGAAAAACTGGAGTCTGCTACATCTTATCATTGTACAGCCAAAACAAAAAGGAGATACCAAAGTACTAGCTTTCTTTAGAGATACTTCACTGCTATCTGTCTAGTGCCATTGAATGAAAGGATCCAATGTCATTTGAGTCTGACTGTGGTACACATTATTTTCATGACATTATCAAAATGTGTAACTGTGGAAGCCAAGGGGAGTGATAATTTACTACCCATTTGCAACCAATTTAGGGAGAAGAATTTTCAGTAGCAGTCAGTTTATACTGACGATTAAACAAAGAAAGCCTTCTAGGAAGACAGAAAACTTGAGTTCATCAACCATAATGGCAGGGACAGTAGAAAGAATATTTTAAAACTGGTTAGGAACTGTGTTAATAGCTTTAATTCTATGAGTTTTCTTTCACAAGAGTGGTCAGAATCTTCATTTTCTGAAACCAATACTGCAGTGTTCACAACCACAGAAAGAAGTGAAAGGGGTGAAATGTGTTCACCAACACAAAATTGCTTTCTACAGTAAAATTGCCAGCATTTTGTTGAATCAATCTGCAGGTATTTACTGATCAGTAATATTAAGTATGTTCTCAACCTAAGCATTCTGCTGAGTCTAAAGTAAATACTCCTATTTGGTTTCTAATGTCTGTTAAAGTTGAGAAAATCATACTGAGTCTTGGATTTTAAAGCAAACCCCTCCAAGTTGTCTCCTACTCTGCTTTTGCTCAATAGTTTTAAACTTCTTTCAATGCTAGAAAGTGCACAGCAGCAAATTCTTATTTCTTTGATTCTAACTGTTGAACTGTCCATGAAGCAAGAACCTGTTAAATAATTCCTAGAATGCCTCCTATCATAAAGAGACAATCAGCAATTTAGATTTTTACATTTTGTTCCCTTCTATCCTGCAATAATATGACCATGCCAGCCAGTCCCAACTATGCTGTGTATTGTCTAAGCTTGCAGCCTTTGGTCTCCTTTACCCTCCCTGGCTCAGAGATGTTGATTCACTCTTCACATCTCTGCCAAAACGGGGAGAATT